GTAACAAAAAAAAAAAAAATTTTCTGTTTATCAAAATTTTTGGTCGTAAAACCAAAAAATCAATTAAACATATAATTAATATAAATCGTTTTGCATTAGATTCTACTTTAGTCAATATAAAACATTTACTAATTCAAAAGTGTTATGTTATGTTACAAAACTTCATGTTACATCATGTTTCTTACATATATTACATAATGTTACATTATATTGTATTGTAACAGTCTCTCACAATCTCAAAAAACACTAAAAGTGAACAGTAGAACGAGGTTTTCTTTTATGAAGTTTCTCGTCATCGCGTATCAAACACCAGATGTAGTCACCCATCATAGCTGCATCCCATCTGCCCTGGTATCTTTTCTCCATTGCAAGAATATCCTGATGGAAACGTTCCCCGTGCTCTTCACTCACATCACCCAAATTTGGTCTGAAAAATTCCAAGTGTGAATGCAGGTAATGCAGCTTTATTGACATTCTGCATTTCATATCTGCGTACCGTACAATTAAGTTTTCCACTATCTCTTTGTAGTTATCACTCTTATTGTTGCCTAAAAAGCTATGAACAACATGTCTAAATGCAGTCCATGCTTCTTTTTCAACAGCAGACATTTTGTCCTCAAGCTCCTTACATGCCAACATAACTTTAATCTGTGGACCAACGAATATACCTGCTGAAATTTTTGCATCTGACACCTTTGGAAACATCTGCCAAATATGCTGGAATGCTGCACTATCTGGGTTTAATGCTTTGACAAATTGTTTGATAAGACCAAGTTTAATGTGAAGGGGTGGTAGTAAGATCTTTTCAACAGGTATCAGAGATTGATTAATAACATTGTGCGAACCAGGCTGTAAATGTTCTCTCACTGGCCACTCACGTTTTGTGAAGTGCTGGTTTGCAGCCCTGCTATCCCATAAACAAAGAAAACTCGAGTACTTTGTGTATCCTCCTTGCAGACCGAGAAGAAATGCTAGCATCTTAAAGTCTCCACATACATCCCACTTGTAACTGTCGTAGTTGATTTTCTCAAGCAACAACTTCACGTTCTTATAGTCTTCCTTTAGATGAACGGAATGAGCTACTGGAATCGAAGGAAATCGGTTTCCGTTATGGAGCAAAACTGCCTTTAGACTTGTTGAGCTGTCAATGAATAATCTCCACTCTTCAGGATTGTGAACAATGCCAATGTCATTGAAAAGACCACGAACGTCATGACAATAGCACAGTGATTCTGATACTACATAAAAGTATGCGAATGTTTCATGTCTTTTTCGGTATTTCGAGGTACTGCAGCTTGGATCTAATAAATTCCATTCTTTCAAACGTGATGTCAGAAGTTCTGCATTTGATTTAGTGAGACCTAAATCTCGTACTAAGTCATCAAGTTCTTGTTGGTTAGGGAAATGAGGTGAATCATTCGGTTCCCTGAAATCACAGTCATCATTGAGTTCATCCGGTGAGTCTACTTCAGAATGATATGCAGCTGCTTCTTCGGATTGAGGTGGAGTATGAACAGGCAATTCATCACTGTGTGGAACTGGTCCAATAGAAGATGGTATACTTGGATAAACTAGAGGCAGCCTATCTTTCGGTTTTTTATACTTTGAAATGTCAACAATGCAGAAAAAGCAGTCATCATGATGGTTCGTTGGTTCTCTCCATATTCTCGGAATCGCAAAGGGCATTGAATTTCGGATTCCACGCAGCCATCCGTCCAGAGTTGATCTGCAGCTACCACAACTGTAGTGTGGTGCCCACGATTTGTCCTGATCTCCCATAGCCATGCCAAAATAAGCATGATATGCAGTAAAGAATTTTGTACCACTGACAATCTTATGTTTAGCTTGTGTTGGACTAATATAGTAACCACAAACATAACAGAATGAGTCAGGACAAAGCTTGCAGGATCTACTAGACATATTCACTACTTCATGTAACAGTTGTAATTAGTTAAACTGAAAATAAACACACGAATATAGTTAAAATCAGCATATATATAATGTTTTAATTGCATTACACATATACGAAAACTCCGAAATATACTTTATGCTTTTTCTTAGGAAATCTTGATGATAGAGAAAAACCAATGGTACCACTGAAATCAGCATACAAAAATTATGTAAGAAACATTAAAAAATTAACATAAACAAAAATGTTGTTACATGGTGTAATTCAAGCAAGTGAAGCAATAATAGCAACAAATAAGAATAATCAACTGCATGGTAGAAAGTCAACTAAATAATCAACAAGATTAATTTTAAGAACATTTACTGAGCTTGTTGAAAAATGAGGACTTCTGGGCAATAATTTTAGGGGTAAGCAGAATGATTCTGCTAACTAGCTTCAAACCCCTTCTTTATCTATTAGACTGGTGTAGGTGTAAACATGTTTTACATTGTTTCCTGTCTAGGATGATGAACGCTGGATCTTCTTGACACTTCTCATAGGTTTTTGCTTGTGCCTCCTTGGTGTCACTATGCAACTCTTCCTGTTAATTTTTAATGAGGGTACAAAACTCAGTTCAATGGTTCTGAGGCCGGCTGGTAGTAAGGTTTCCCGAAATCTGTAGTATCTCATAGAGAGGCTGATTCCATCAACAGCTGCAAAATGTCAAAGTAATAACAGTGCCATGTTGCGCATGGATGGTGTCCCTGTTAATGCTTTAAGTGCGACTTGTCGAGGCCACATAACGAGTCAGATGTTACGATTTAGGATTAATTAACAGGAATGAGAAAACTGTATAGCTAATTGCTTTGGAGACCGTGCTCTATCTATGAATGAACCAAGTTCTCTTTAAACTTAAATCATCCTTACCACAACTGTTTTTATATATCTTTTTCTAATACTTGTGGTCTGTGAAGCAACCTTCCACCAGTTGAATCTTTCCGATTGCAAAACTCACCAGATTTGCTTATCATAGTGAGATTAATTTAAACTCTGCTATACCTTCTTCTGATTTCTGTGTTGATGGGTACCCTCCTTTGATTCGCAAAGACTACAATAGTCACATGCTTTGCTTAGGGGCATACATGTGCATCATTCACCTATTTGTCACGAAATCATGTTAGAATTTTTTGACCATTCTTTTATGTGCGTCCGCTTAGCACCTCTTCACTCACCTTTCTACTTGCTCTTTATCATTCTCCTTCTTAAGACTGCACTCTCTTTACCAATATTATTGTTATTGGTGACTTTAATGCTCGTCACACTGAATGGCTAGGCTCTAAAGTCACTAACCCAGCTGGCACTAAAGGGTCACATGCAGGAATGGAAGCTTTTACTTCTCCTTGTCGGTTCCAAGTCAAGCATCATTCTACTCCATGGTTTTTACCCTCTTGTGCAGCTGCTATATCTAATCGTAATCATTTTTTAAAATAATTTTCAAAAGAACAATTCTCTTGAGAACAAACAGCAATTTATTATTGCAAGAAATTGTAAAAAAGTGCTGTTAGATACTAAGATACATTATTCTCATTAACTAAATCTCGTATCTTATCTCAGAAGTTAGGTTTTAGAGTCTTTTGGAAAATCTTTAACAGAGTTGTTAACAAAGGTCTAACATTTCGTCTCTCATTCATAGAACTGATCTTATTATCTCTACCAAGAAAAAGGCAAAACTATTTGCAAAAAAACTTTTCTTCTAATTCAACTCTTGAATTTTAAAGCCATTCTCGTTTTTCCATTCCGATTAAATCTAGAAAGTTTTTGAGATTACCAAATCATTTCTTTCTAACCGCTTATCAAAGTCATCCTCGAAGGCCAACACTCTTCTTTATTTCCAGTAACTTCTAGGGTACCTCAAGGTTCCATACTTGGTCCTGTTTTGTTTCTTATTTACATTAATGATCTTCCTAACAACCTTACATCCAAGGTAGCTCTTTTTGTTGATAACTCAACTTTATACTCCTGTCTTGACAAAAAGTCTTCTGTTTTTTATTGCTTCGAACAGGCAGCCGATCTTGAATCTGATCTCACTTATGTAACAGATTTGGGCTCACAGTGGCTTATAAATTTTAATTTCAACTAAACTCCCGATTTCATGTTTTCGTGATTCATACAACCTTCAAGTATTTTGTCAACCTTTTATTTGCTCTATAACTGTATTTTTTTTCTTCTTGTAACTCCCAACTTAATAGTGGTTGCTTGTTGCCTTGTTGGGAGTGAATCAGAATAATAATAATAATAAATAAAATTATCCTGAATAAAAAAACGCTAATTAAATCTATTTGAAAAAGAGACAAATGACTAAAGTAGATGATAAACACAGGCAATAATATTCATCACATAGGTCGAGAAGGCCACTACACATGAGGAGGCTATTTGTGGTTATAACCCTCTCTCAACTCTATAACTCAGAAACACAAACCTTGATGAACAAGGTCGCTGCGCAAAGAAACAAATTGATTGGGGTATTACCAGGCACATAGTGGGAATGAAACAATAAAGCAAGCGCTCTACGACTACACCACCACTGCATAAAGTATCAACTTCAAATAACTTGAGATCAGAACGACAAACCAAGGTTGCATCAGTTAGAGCAAACTATAATTTTTGAGTTATATACAAACAATAAAAATCAAAAACATCAAATATAAAACGCTATTAATCAAACTTGATACATTCTTTTGTTTTGGTAATGAGAAAGATTTAGTTTGGCATAAAACTTAAACAAAACTTCCAAAAAAAATTTCTTATCTTTTATACTATTCTTCAAATAGGGTTTTAAACAAACTTAAAATAAACAAATGTTTTCATAAGGTTTTAAACAAACTTAAAACAAACAAATATTTATTAAACTCAGTGCACTTAATGCATTTTGCTAAAACTTGCATTTGTAAATAAATTGTATAATAGCATTAAATAGCTTAATTTTATTATACTTTTCTAAATCATAAAATAATTCAGAAATATTTAAAAATAACATTCTAAAATAAACAAATAAAGTATACGTTTAAGAATAAATTAAGTCACAGGATTATAATTATTATTAATAGAATACCTTATAAGCAGCCATTTTATCATCTTCTGCTGCCATCAATGACTGATAGGTATCTAGCTCTGCATCTAAAGCTTTAACTTTAGCATTCAACTCTACATTTGCTGATTCAGAAAGCTAACATATACATATACACATTTATACATACATATATATATATATATATATATATATATATATATATATATATATATATATATATATATATATATACATATATATATATATATATATATATATATATATATATATATATATATATATATATAATAAATAAACAAATATATATATATGTATATATACATATATATAATATGTATATATATAATATATATATTGTATTTATATTGTATATATGCAACCCTCGGAATTAAGAAAAATGAGGTCGGCAAATTATTGCCGACCTCAAACACTTTCAGGTCGGCAGTTAGGTTGGCATTGCTGAATGCCGACCCTAATTCCGAGGGTTGTATATGTATTTATTATATATATAAAATATATATACACATGTATATATATATATATTATATTTATATTATATATTATATATATATAATTATATTATTATATATTATATAATTATATATATATATATATATATATATATATATATATATATATATATATATATTATATATATATTATATAATTATATGTATACATAATATTATATATACACAACCACAATCAAAAGTTTAAAACATTGCGAAAAAAAAAATTTCATTAAATTATTTATCTATTTTATCAAAATATTAGTAACCAATACAATTGACAAAAATAATAACTTAACATTAGTAAATGTCTTATGAATTAAATACTTGAGGTCAATTCTTGGTATGATGTCGTTTAGCATTCAAACAATTAGCTAAGCGAATAGGTATAGAGTGAATAAACTTTTTCAAATATTCAGGATTCATTGTTTTTGATTCCAGCAGTTTTAAATGGGATTGAGGTTAGGTGAGTACCAGGCCAATGATCTCAACCCCATTCTCAAGTAATCTATTGCTCACAAGCTTGGTCCTATGACAGGGTACTCCATCATGCTGAAACTTGTGGGTATTTGTAATACTCCTGAATTTGTTTTATTAATGATTTGTTGCTAAATATTACATCTTCCCAAATTTTCTGCCATCCAGTATTTGTATTTTTGACAGAAGGCAATACGGTCTTTAATACTTTTTTGAGAAATGCAAGGTTTTCTTGCCGGAACATGACTATTTAAGTTAAATTGTTTGCACAAACGTCTTCTAATTGTCACAACACTTGGTGCAACACCAGTTGGGAATATCTCAGATGAAATTTCAGAAGCACTGGCAAAGAAATATGCTTTTGCATAACAATAAATGCAATTATCTGCACTTTGTCATCTTTGGTCGCCCAGTTTAGTTTTGATTTTAAAATCACAAGTTTCTTGATATCGTTTTAATGTATTTATAATGCAGCTATGTGTTACATTAAGAAACTTTACTTTTAACTAAATTAAAATTTTTAAACAATTTATTGTAGTTTAGTTTCAATATGATTGATTTTATCACTTGACAGCAGGGTTGGGTTCAGACCATCTAGTAAAGATCAGTAATTTTTAGGCTTTTGTGATTAAAGTTTCAAATAATTTTTTAAACTTTACTAGAAATACAACTGCTTAAAATAAGCTAGCCTATATAAAAAAATATATATAATAAAATCAATTCTTGCAGTGTCTGAATTTACATGTAAAAGAATTATATGAGAAAAGTAGTTTCTTTAAACATCTGATTAAACTAGTTAACAGAAATGTGTGGTACCCAATAAGTACACAGAATTTTCCATACAAAGGAATTTTTATAATATGAGTATTTAATAAAATAATTATCTAATAAAAATATATATAAGTATAAAATCAATTTTTTTTTATATCTATATAATTTTTTTTTATACCATGTAACAGTTATAACCTACATGTTAACATGTAGGTTATAACAGTTACATGTTAACATGTAGGTTATAACTGATTGATTTTAAGTTTTAGTACTACATTTATTTTATTTCACTAGAAATAAAAATGCATTTTGTTTAGTTTATTACTTTGTGTTTAGTTTAATAATCAGTGACTTTTTAAACATACATTTGTAAACAGTTATTTATAAAAATAAACCAAAATTAACTATCATTTAGACAATTCATGACTGTGCCAAATATCAAGAAAATAAACAAAATTATTTATATTTAAAAAAACTGGAAGCAAAACAATTATTTTATTACATTATTACATAATAATATTTCTACATTATTTCTACATTATTTTAAGTTAATTATTCAATTAAACTAGTTTTTGGTAATTTAGTACAAAAAAGTTAGTGTTGATAAATATGAAAAGTTTTACTTATCACAAGGCTTCTCTCTCTCTCTCTCTCTCTCTCTCTCTCTCTCTCTCTCTCTCTCTCTCTCTCTCTCTCTCTCTCTCTATATATATATATATATATATATATATATATATATATATATATATATATATATATATATATATATATATATATATATATATATATATATATATATATATATATATATATAATGTTAAGTAAACTTTTGCTATCATAGATTGACTTGAAACTTTCATCTAAAGGTTTACCTTAAGTAAACTTTTACTGTAAATAAGATTTACTAAAAAGGTGTAAGTAACAATTTGCAAAAAAATAAAAAATAAAAAAAGCTTTTAAATTTAAAAAAAAATTGTGAAAAAAAAATTTACTTCTTTTAAAAGTTGAGCACGCTGATTATTGAGCTTTTCTATTTCTCTTGCATATATTAGTTTTCTATCCGTAACTACCGCCATCAAGTTGAAATGGACATCTTCTGAAGAATACCTAAATAAAAATAATATAAAACTAAAAAAAAAAAATTATGGACAGGGCACCTAAAATCGTTTTTTTTTTTAAATAAGCAATGACATTTTTACCTTTATTTATTGACGAACTTCAAATTTAAGAGGTATATGTCAAATAAGGGAGTTTTATTTTAAAATAATTTTTTTATTCAAATAATCTTTTATTAAATTATAAAGGAGATTTATTTTTAAATAACCTTTATTCTAGTTAATGATTTATTAGATATTTCAAACATGCTTATTGAATTTATTCAATTTTTTATTATTTTTTATTATTTCAATACAATATTTCATGCATTTGAAAAGTGCGTGTAAATTAATGATAATTAAAGGATGTTTTCTACAAGATGAAAAAAATCTGATGACGCAAACTTTTTTGTCATGATGAAACGTCGTTTTGATTTCCACATTATTTTTCACACTAATATTTTTGTTATCAATAAAAAATGGCATTTATAAGTTTACACTGTATGCTTTTGAAAAAAAAAAAAATTAATATACAAAATAGTTTTTGATGTATATCTGTAATGTATTTTTTTAGAATATTATAAATGCTAACTCCTCATAGAAACACTCCTATTGAAAAACTGTTACTCGCTCATAAACCTTGTGAAGTGAAACTTTCAGAATTGACAGCATTAGTAAATTCATCTTTACTTGATGACTTTGTCAATTTCAGGGAAAGTTCTATGTAAATAAGAACATCAAGTTGTTTATTGCTGTTGCTGTTCATTGGTGTTGTTGCTATTTTAAAGAAACAACATGCTTTCGCTTTTTTTACAGTTGATTTTACGTGATATACTATTTAGATATGACTGGTTTTCGCTCATATAACAATCAACTTTTTTTTTACAACAGCAAATTGATTGATCAGCAATATTGGCAGAAATGTTTTATTTTTGCATGCTTATCAATGAAAAAATGTGGAAAACGGCCTTAATAATATCCAATAACTTAATGATTGTAAACGGTTATCTATTAATACAAAATAGTGAATTTTTCTTAATTTAGTTCATTAAATTAATTTACTTATGAAAAAACATATCAACTTGAGAAAATTAAAATGAAAGGGAACTAAAAAAAATAATAGACTTTTCTTTTTTTAAACCTTTAAAAATAATAATATCGTATTATAAATACGATATTATCATTTTATATACTATTATTATTTTTTTAAGTATTTAATAAGTTATATTATATTATATTTAAAAAACTGTATTAAGTTGTTATTAAATACTTAATATTATTATAATGAAACTATTATATTATTTTATTTATAATATTAGGCATTTAATATTACAAATATGATACTATTACTATAGTAATAAATTAAACTATAATAAACAAAATAATTCTATGGTCTGCTTCAACAATTTACAGTCTATTAAATGACAAATCACCTAATCTAAACCAATTAGAAAATAGTTTTTTTTATTTGTTTTATTGTGATGTAAGAGAAGAAATAGCTTTTAATTAAATTTTAAAATATAAAAAATAATTTATTTTTACCAATACAATTAGAAATATATATTTTAGTAATAATAATTTAGTTAAAACACATGGTATCAGTGCATTCTTCTAAACAAAAAAAAAATTTTGTATTTTGAATTCTAAAAATTACATTAGTTAAAAATACGTTCATGTTATTGATTGACTTTTTGTTCAAGTTGATTTTTGCTACTTTTTTCCTTTTTTTCCAAGCTCTTAACAAAATAAAAAATTTTTTGAAAGATATTTTGATAGCAATGTTCAAACTCTTTATTATTGTATTGGTGACCAATAATTTACTATGATTAAAGAATTAGTATATTTCTGAAAAAAAATTATTTTTTTACCAATTCACTTCCAACAAGGCTGAAAAAAACCATTATTAAGTTAGGAATTACTAGAAAACAAAGAATATTGTTAAAGAGCAGGGCAAGGTTGACAAAAGATTTAAAAAATTTTAGTTTGCCTAAGGGAAAACATGAAGATGGTATAGAATCTGAAAGCAATAATGTGCAAGGAAAGAAGCTAGACAAATAAAAGTTTAGGTTCGTTTATTGCTTGTTGAACATAATCTTTTGTTATCCTGCATATATTATGTTCATATATATATTTTTTAACTTCTGCTGACTGGCAATATTTGAAATCTGCCAGATGAGCTCATGATTGAGTTAGAAAATGAAAAAAGTGTTATGCTAAGAAGTGTTTTGCTAAGAAGTGTTATGCTAAGAAGTGTTATGCTAAGAAGTGTTATGCTAAGAAGTGTTATGCTAAGAAGTGTTATGCTAAGAAGTTGTATGCTGTTTGCATTTTACATACAAAATGGTGATTTTACCTACGAGATATACCATTTACGTTAAGCCAAAAATTTTTAAAATTGGAATATTTAAACAGTCCTTTGAAGTAGCTAATACGGAAAACATTAAGCAGTAATTAATTGTTGTAAAAAACATTTTAGAAAGTTTCTAATTTATATTTATTTTATTATATTTCAATTAAATTTATTATTAAATGTTAATAAATTTGAATGTATTTTATTAAATTTAATTTAAATTTTTTTAAAAATTTTAATTGACTTTTAAAAATATCCAAACTATGTTAAAAAAAAGAAAATTATTTTTATTAAATTTAATTAAACTTTTTTATGCTTGTTTTGCAACTATTTTGTTTATTTATTTATAGTTTCAAATGAATAAATTTTTTTCAACCCAATACAAAAGCGCTAATATTTAAAAATCTTTAATGCTTATAACTGTATATAAATGCATTGCTAGATAAACCATAATCAAGCAAAACTATTTTAGAGAATTTTTTTAGTAAACTTTATATAACAAATTTATGAATAAATGATTTTTCCAGTTTAGAAATTGCCTTTTAATTAGTTTTTTTCATTATCATTAATTTTTTAGATTGATCATAGCATGAATGTATTGCAATAACAGCAAAATAAAAGGATTTGTTATGAATGTTTTAATAAATAAATACAAATAAAAGGATTTGTTATGAATGTTTTAATAAATAAATACAAATAAAATGATTTGTTATGAATGTTTTAATAAATAAATACAAATAAAATGATTTGTTATGAATGTTTTAATAAATAAATAATAAGTATAAGTGTTTTAAAATAAGGAAAACCTTTTTTTTAAGCAACATATTAAAATTTCATTGATAATTTTTTTTAATAATTGTTTAAATTAAACAATATTGTTTAATTTAAAGATATTTAAACTTTAAATTCTATTGCACACCTTTCTAAGTTACTTTGAGGAGGAAAACCAAGAATAGTGGCTCTTTATGATGCTCTTGACAAAAATGATTGGTTGTATGTTATGATTAATTTAATTTTAAAACTTAATTTTCTTTTGATAATTAAAATAGATTTAACATAAATAAATTTAAACCTACACATAACATAATAAAAGTTTCAATTAATTATTTAAACAAATAAATTTAAAACTTATTTTTTAAAATTTAATTTATTGAAGCTAATATTTTATAATATTAATTTTAAAGTCTATATTTTGTAATACCCTTTTAAAGGTTATATTTTATAATACCATTTTAAGGTTAAATTTTATAATATCCTTTTTAAATTAATATTTTACCATATCCTTTTAAAGGTTATATTTTATAATGTCTTTTTAACTATTTTAATTTAGATTTTCTTTATTACATTCCATCAAACTATTTTAGTCAATTCTAATAAAAAACTAAAACTGTTTTAAAAGGTGTGAACTTAAGTGAAACTTGTATATGTAGAAATATGAAGATTTATAATTGCGGAAGTGAAAAGTTATATGTTCTGCTCATTCTTGAGTTTCATAGCAAAAATTGAATGTCACAAAACATGTTTTGGTTTAGTTAAGAAGCACATTTTCAGTATTATTTTGATCAAAAAATATCAACCCAGAGAAATTTACCACCATGCCAGGAGTATATTTCCTACCATGCTGGAATAATATTTCCAATAATGCCAGGGTAATACTCCCTGTCATGCCAAGATGATATTTTAGATCATTATAAAATAATTTGTGATTACAAGCCAGGTTTGATTACTGAATTTGAATTTTCATACTATGTTGATTGAAGAAGATATCTTTGATAATAAAATAAGAAAAGATCGGAAAGGCTTACTTCAAAACAACTAAATAAATTATTAAACTACTGAATAAATAAATTAAAAATAAATATATTTTAGGTGGTCATACCTTATAAAGTTTTTAATAAAGGTAGAAATATCTCAATAAATTTGGATATAACTAATGGTATAACAGTTTTTAAAAAAAATGTTATGCAATAAAAGGTAATTGTTTTTTTTAATTCTTTAAGCAATTTGCAATAACAATAAATAGGTCTATATTGGCATTAAAATGTTTACATTAGACTGAGCAGCGGGCATTCAGTGTTAATTGAAAAAATTGAAATAAAAATTTTGACCCACTCTAATACATTTAATATACATTTATATTCAATTGATCTATTATTATAAAAATGATTAAAAAAAAAGGCACATAATCACTTCCCTCTAGAATATGATTAATTAAAATAACTTCAAAGTAGACAAGACTTAATTGTTAAACTAATTAATGCATTTTATAAAAATGTATAATGTGTAACCAATCAATGGAGTACAAAATTAAAAAAATTTTTTGTTTGAAAAAAAAATCTTTAAATGAAAACATCTTACTTTTGCATCCTTTTTTCAATGATAGGCTTGCAAACATGCAACCAAGAGTCAGTTGTAGCAGAAGCTAAGAAGGCAGATGATATAGTAATAATGGAAAAATGATATATGAATAACAGGGAAAAAAAATTTTTTTTAAGTTTATTGTTAAAAAAAAATTTATTGTTTATAATAATTTATAAAACCTAAATCTATTGGTCCATCCTTTAACCCATCTAATTCATATAACCGACCATTGATTGGAATATAAGCAACAAAATGGTAAGCCTCTTTGTCTTCATCTTTTTTTGAACTATCAAACTGAAACATTTCTTCTCTAAAACACAAAAAAAAATTGTAAATCTTATGTTGAAAATAATGCATCAATATTATTTACCATTTAAACAAATGCATTAAAAAATTAATAAAAAACTTTAAAAAAAAGTTTAGTATTTTTTTCAAAACTGTTTTTAACTAAGGGTTGCATGAAAAACCAATAGAATTTCATTAAAAATATTTTTAACAAAAAACATATTAATTTCTAAACATATATTATAAAATATGGTAGTAATGGATCAAATGATAGTATCGAATGTATATTAAATGTACTGTGTCAAAAAAAATATTAACACATTTTTGTTGTTAACTTGTTACCATTGTTTGAAAAAATACATAAAAGAATATGGGAAAAAGTCTCAAATCAGATTATTAGCTAATAACCAAATGAGAGCATCAAACAAGTGTTCCAACTAAATGTTGCAGTGAACATTTAGTTGAAACACATTACTAAAAGGCTTAAAATGTTTTTTCTTGTTAGATTTCAACAGTATTTTTAAGTTTATACAAAAATTAATTTAAAAAATATATTTAGGGGAAGTTTGTGTAAGGGGGATCAATTGAGTCAGAGAGTGTGTATGGTAAGTTATTATTATTGAGAGTTTTGTTAAAGTTTTTTTTGTTTAGGAAGTTAAGCTGCTCTTTTAATAAAATTGGGAAGTTGAAAAACTGGTAGAAAAAAAGAAAAAAAAAAGAAAAAGGGGCAAAAAATGTTTATTATCTATAGTTCTACACATATATGGAACAAACAAATACAAAAAACAAACAATAAAACATTTTTATTTAAAAATAAAAAATAAAAAAATAAGAAAAAATAATAATGCACTAATAAATAAACATAATACTAATAATTGCTTTAATAATATAATAAAGATTATAATAATAATAATAATAATAATAATAATAATAATAATAATAATAATAATAATAATAATAATAATATGAATAAAAAAACATTACAAATAGTAACTAAATATGATAATGTCTTCTGAGGTATAAAAAAGTTGTGCAACCAAATAAACTAAAATTTCTTATAAAATTGAGTGGTATTTCTGCTATGTGTTAGGGTGCATCAAACCCTCAACAATTTTTTTAACTATTTACTTTAGTTTCGGCCTGATGATTCCTGTGTTCCACTTCATAAATTATGACTCCTGTAAAAATTTGAGATTTTTTTGTGGTAATTTAATGGGTTCACAACGAACACAAATATTTGTATTTTTTGCAATATAATGTAACTAATACTATTATTGGCATCAATTACATTTGAACAATTAATATACACAATACTACTTATAGTTCCAGGAAATACTGCAAAGACTGACAAATGGACAAAAGAATACTTAAATATTCCAAACAAGTATGACAAAACTTACAATATCGAACAGAGCACAGTGCAATAGGTAGCTTTTAGCTACTGGGACTATGGGTATATAGTTAAATATTGTCAATTGTCAACTTCTTGATCTTCGACTAATGGTGCTGCTCATTTCTTCTTATGGCTGCACAGACTTGGAACTTTCTTTCTGTTCCAAGCCCCAACAACTTGCAGAATGTTCTGATAATTAATAATAATAAACCTCAGTTTTGGCTGTATCTAGAAAGTCTGCACTTAGTTTCAGGCCGCATTCTGCACTGTCATTGATAACATTGACAGAAATAGTCTTCATCTTTGATGACAGAAAGGAAGGGTGAGCTGGCCAGTTTTCAATCTTATTGTTAAGAAAATCCTCATTTATCTCTAAAAGGCTGAAAATGTACCATGAATCTGCAGTAACCAAATCATCAAGTCTTGTTGTGACAGTGATTTCAGTTAAGAACTTTGGTTTTCTGAAGCCAGTTCTGTAGCGATCATGCGGCAGAGCCATTCCATCACTAGGCTTCGCTGCAAGACGCTTCTCAGCTAAATACTGCAATTCAGGCTTTGAAACAATGTCAATGAATAGAGCAAGGGACAGCATTTCAGAACATAGACAGGGCTAAATTTAATGGTTGAACATTGTCTGGCTAAAACCTCAGATTGTCCGCTCAATTTACAAAGTAATCGAACATTTTGACTAACAGGAATTAAATTCTACAAAATAAAGTTTGGACAGGAACGGCATGCAATCGAACGCTTTTGCTGACCACGCAAATGATTTTTTTTGTTTACAAACTGACCCCAACTGTTTAAACATTTCAGAAAACCTAAACTTAAAACTAGGAAAAAAATTTAAAAAACTAAAAATAAAATAACAATTCCTTATGAAAAATAAATTAGCTTTAAAAGTAAACTAAAAAAACTTGAAGTAGAAATTATTTTTTGTTATGTTGTAATTGCATTAAAAAAAAATTACTTTAAAACTGATCATTTTAAATGTTTAATAAAAGTTAGCAAAACGCTTTTACAAATTACATCCATTGATCGTTTAATAAATGAACAAATCTATTTATTATTGAAAAGAAAAAAATTTAATTTTTTAATTTGTGTAAACATTTTTTTCAAAAAGTTGCAAAAAAAAATTGCTTAAAAAAATAACATTGTCTTTTTAGTCATCGTAATTTTTAATCATTTTATAATTTAATTATTAAGTCAAAATTAAAAAAAACTTTTAAACAATTTTTTGTAAAAATAGAAACCAAAAAAAAAAAAAAGCAATAAAATCATGGGAAGATTTAACTCAACTTATTTATAATTTAAAGTAGCTTAAAAAAATAAACTTTTAAAAGATTTTTAGAACGACTTGGAAAAATAGTTTCAAACGTTTAAATTCATCATAAAAAATACATACCTAATAAAAAAAATTTAAATATAATATTTTATTTACACATAATGGCTTTTTTTTTAAACGATCATTATAATTAATTTTGGATTTGATCTTATTTAAAGCCTTCACATAAAATGAAAACTTTGAAAAAGATCAATAATTAAAAGTTATTTGTAATGTAACAATTTTTTAAATTGCGTATAAATTGTTAAAACATCAAAACAGCTGTTGTCAAATTGTAAAGAAAAAAAAAACTGTCAGTTACAGCATGAAATTTTGTCTATCTAAAAAAACGTGCAATATTAAATTTAAACTATTGTATAACAAACAACAAAAAAATACGATGAGTTATTCTAAATAGAAAGGAAAGAAACTGCAACTTCACTAGACTACCATTAAATAAACTGAATAACATGACAAAGGTTACGATTGTGCAACTCGGTTCCATAAAACCGTAAAAATTATATTTTAAAAATTTGATTGGACACTGTCCGACCCAAACGTTTTGATCTGACATTTTGTCTGGAACTTTATAAAATATTAAATTGAGCCCTGCATAGGTACCGCAGATGACGCTTTAGTGCTTTTATAGCGCTTTCAGATATTTTAGAACTCACTTGTGTGTACTTCAGAAAGTTCTGATAAAGGCAGAGATCAACTGCAGATCTACACGTTGTCCATCAGGCGCTGTATATCAGACACACAAAGGTGACAAAGTTATGTTAATTTATCTGCTGTGCAGCAGTGGTAAATATTTGCTGGCAACAAATGGATCTGCTCTTCAAGAAGAATCGTTCTGATGGAGTACAATATTTTGGACATCCACCGTGCTTTGTGGACTGCACCCGGTCAACAAAAGGGAAACTGTCTGTTTTCTAGATCAAGGTACAACAAACATAATTCACTGAATTCTTTAGCCTTCTCGCTGATGCTCTATGGAAGATTCAGCAGATGTTTCTGCACTTTCTTTCCACATAGTAATTTGAGAAACAGCTTGTGAATCATTTGAGAAGGTCGAGAGTCAAATGGAATGAGTGTCTGGTCGCTTCCATGAGGAACTGTGTCAAAATATATTAACTTCTAGTGATTTTAATGCTTCAATGTGCAAATCGTTAAAAATGTGTGTTAAAATAACTTCTCCAACAAGATGATGACATTCAGAGCAATACACAGCCAAATCTTTGCTGCAGGGCTACCCACGCAGCACTGACTTATCTGGTATTGCTGGCCTTAGTAACAAAAGTCGTGTTTATTATTGACTCAGCACAGATTCATGACTGCAACTACTGCATTATAGTATTAGTGACAATATCTCCAGATCGTTGATCTGTTCCTGGTTGATAAGTATTTTGAAAGAATTTTGACAATGTTCCTTCCTGTCTTTCCTATAAACCATGTGTTGCCTGGCTCTTCGTCAGTTTAGAATCCCAGTGCAGGGAAGCATACTTTGGTGCAACCCATGACTTCCAAACTTCAGAAGCAATATCTTCATTCACCATATACATGGACCTGTCTGTTGTGGCATATGATACACGCCCTGATTCTATAATAATGGCCTCAGTGAGTGCAGTCTGTTGTGCAGGAGAAATTTTCATTCTTGTTGCCAAAGCCACAATTCTTGGAGATTTGAGAATTTTATAAGGTATATGAGCTGCTGTTCCAGCGCGAGTGGTTTGATGGTGCATTTTTACCAGTTTCTTTTCAGAAGTCTTAAAAGGACTATCGATATCACATTTACTTTCATCACTACTTTCCTCACTGCTGTTGCTAGAGAGCTCTAATGTACAAATAGCAGATACTGTAGCAGTAGCAGTAGCTGCTACTTCAGCACTTAGTCTCCTTTCTTCTTGATTTTGCAGTCATGTCTTCTTGCGCTGTAACTGTAATGCCAATTTCTTGTCATGGGAGCCAAATGAGACTGTGCAGTCTGTTTTCATGGACTCTAAAAACTTGACGCCCTTGTCATTCTTCATGACTTTTTTAGCATCTTTTGTCCACAGTGGAAATGTCAAACTGAGTTCTTCTGACATTTATTCAAGCTTGGCAAGTGCTGACAATGATGAACGACGATCTAGAGAAAGTTTTGCATTCTTTTCAGACAGTGCAATGATTTTTTCACAGGCTTTTTTTTCTGTTATTATTGGAACATTTGCTTTCTTAAAGAAAGAAACTCCTAACTGGTTGTCAGAAAGTTTTTCTACATTTTATTGACACAAAAAAAATGAATGACCAGAATTTTTTGTTTCATCAAAATAAAAGAGCCTGATGAATCTCTTTAACATCATGTATATAAATTTTTAAACTACTGAGGCTTTCATTATCAAAATTTTAATTAATAAAAAAACGTCTATCCTCGTAGTTATATTAAACTTGTATTATTTTTTAAAAACCATATTTTTTAACTGAATATACTAATCAATATTTTTATTAGTAAATAAAGATAAATTCATTCAGTGTGCTTTTTATAAACATTTTTTTTATCTTTTTGATAATCATACAATGACAATAAACTAAACCTATATTTGGGCATGATAGGTTTTTTATTTGGGTAAAGCTCACCTAAGAGAAGAAAAATTCTGATATAAAACCCCCTATTTAATTGTGGGTAAAGGAAGAAGTTTATAGCCTTTGGGTAATAAACTTTCTAGTGGTAGAGTCACAAAAATACTTAGTTACAACCTGCAAAACAACTCAATAAGTGTGAAACCATGAATATCTTATTAAAAATCAACTTCTGCTTACAAGGCTAAAATGTCTTTGTTTACAGCATGCAGTTTATCACATGTAATATATAAAAACTTCATGACGTTAAAAGAGAAGTGTGCAGATGTATACCTTTCCTTGAAAAATCTGTCAGTTTTAAACTTTTAATGGAAAAGCCTATCCTGTAAAAAATTAACATTAAAAAATTTCAAAACAGTTTTTAAAAACAAAACTGTATTACTTTCCTTTAAAATTCCTCATCTTTTCTTTAAAATTTAAGTCACAATCAATCATAACTATTATTCAGAAATAATCTTATTTCGTTAAAAGCACTTTGATACAATTAAATTTCAATGATACTTGTTTAAAATGTAATATGATAAAGATAAAGAATTTCAGTAAAAAACTATTATGAACTTGTTTTATTGTATCAGAATTCGATCAACTCAAGCCTTTTAAACTTCAATTATACTTGTTTAAATAACATATGTTAACTTATGATAAACAAAATTGTATTTTTTCATATGAACACCTGCAAAATTATTTTTTCATGTAAACAACTGTTTAATTATCTTTTTTATGTGAACACCTGCAAAATTATTTTTTCGTGTGAAAACCTGTCCAATTCGTAAACATTTTTGTTTCCTAACCCTGTTTCTCATCTTTTTAACTAGGTAAAAAAATGAGAGATAAGAATGAAACTGTGATCAAGGTTAAAATACTTAATAAAAGAAGTAGAAAAAATTTTCTGTGTTGGTTTTTAAGGCAATTATTTTATAGTAAGGTACCAACTAGCATCATAAGATATAGTAGGAAAGAAACAACTAAAAACCAATAATCATGATAAAGTTAACTTTAAGCAAAAAAATGAACAACATCCAGTGCCATTCAAAATATTTAAAAATTGGTACCAATTCAA